CTGTTCTTGGGATCCCACTCCCTGTGTGGCCCTCCCCAGGGAATGTGCCTGGAGGGACTTCCTTATTGTGACAGCAAAGTAGAGTGAAGAGGGGCCAGGACAGGTGGCTCAGCTGCGCCTCTGCTCCAACTTCTGACCTGCCCTCCGCATCGGCCTTACCATCTTCTCCAATTAGAACGGGATCGTTCAGAGGGGAGACGCAGGAGACGTCATCGGACACGGAGCTCTCTCCTGCAGCCTTAGGGTGGGCTGCAACCTCCACGCACGACGCAGAAGCATCCTCTTGGGGCTTCTGGAGTTCTGTGGAACAAAGTGCGTAGCAGGGAATAAGTAGACGTACTGCGCTTGAATTCAGGCTCTTTCTATCCCGTGGGTGGGCCCTGCTCACCCTGTTCCCTTACTTTCCTGAGTTGAGAGTTGGTTGTGGGAGCCACTGGTTCTGCCCTACTTAGAGCAACACCAGGAGCTTGGAGCACTTCCACTTCCAGTTACAATGTGACATGCTATTGCCATTCAGCACTTTAATTACAGCTGCTTTATCAGTTCTGAATTAGTGACTGCTGTTTGGGGATTTAAATTGTCAAAAAGCCTGTGTCTGTTGCACTCACCAGTGTCTTAGCTCAGAATTTGTTCTTGTCGATTCCTGTGTTCACTTTATTGTTTTCTGAATAGACGCTCTCCATTAGAGCTATTTTTACATCTTCCTTACCATTTTTTATCTTAAAATGTCCTTATTTTAAAAAATCCCTATTTTTGTGTGATTGTGACTTTGTCCTCGGCACAAACCTCTTTTGGTTTCCATGATGGCTGTTGAACAACTTGGTGGCCACAGGTCTGCTCCCCCTCCCTCTGCACTGGCCTGCCCAGCCTCAGCTGCCCCTGCTCTTACCAGCACGAGGCGGGTTGGCTGAAGAGGGGTGGCGGATGTAGCATTCCAACTCATCAGATGTTCCCTTTGCCTCGTGGACCAGGGTCTTGCCCTCCCGAGAGTGCCTGGATTGTGGCTCACACAGCTGTGTGGTTGAGACTCCTGGAAAATGAAACAGAGGTCATTGATACCCAGTGGATGTTGGATTCACTGATTTGTCCAATCCACACATATTCTGATGATCATGTTCGGAGTTCTGAGGATAGGCACGGCCCATGAGCTTGTAAGAAACCAAGTCTATAAATACTGCAGCCTTAGGATGGGATGCAGCGCCATCCCAAGTCTGCTAAATACTGTAACCCACATGTACACAGAAGGAGTTGTCTTGTCACTGGGTGTTGGAGTCTGGCTTAGCCTTCATGCATTTGGTTTGGACAGTGTGCTGTGCACTAAAGCTCTGTTCCTGGTGGTGTCAGAATTGACTGGGGACATGACTGTCCACTTTGTCATTTTGCCAAACTTTTCTTCCAAAAGCTCCTCATGCTGTCACTCTTGAGTCCTTGGTAGACCCAGTTCCATACACAGGGAGCCAGCTCTGCTGAAGTCTGTAGTGTTCCCTGGAGGAACCCGGCTGCTTCCATTCTCCTCCCCCACTGACCACTTCCACTGGGCCCACACCAGCCCTCCTCCACCCAGGAAGACTTCTTGTCCTGAAAGTTGTATCTAACGTGGGCAGGGGGCTTTTACCTGGACCCTGCCCTGGAGGCCCCTCAGACTCACCACCCTTGGCTAAGACGTTTGCCTCTGTTTGCCTCCACTACACTTTTCACTCTTTTACTCTCTCCATCTAACATCTAGATGTGCATCACCTCAAATGAAAGTGAATACATTTTAATTTTTAAAGAAAATAAATATTCATGATTCTATCATGTCACTCCTTCTATTTACCATAAATGGATCACCACTCGGTGTTTAACTCTTATCAAGCTCTCTTGGGAATGTGTCCAGTTGTGTGTGATGCACAGGTTGCATTGACACAGTGTGGCAAATGCAGTGTGCTGGGTATTTATAACTTCATAACATGTTGGTTCAAATTTGGCTCAACTTTAATGTGTAATTGATTCGGTGCTTACAAATGGGAATCTTGCAGTGAGTTTTGTTTGGGTGGGAATGCCATGTGAGGTTTGTGCGTGTGTGCTAGTTTGACACATATCTGTGTGTGTTGATGGCACGTCCTGGGGTTTTGGATTTGTGTGTGTGTGTGTGTGTGTGTGTGTGGTCTTGAACAGGTGCCTCTGTACTGTGTCTCAAGTCCATCTCTTGAGAGCAATACTGTTGCTGGCATGTTTGAAGCTGCGAGTGCTTTCATAGTGTTTTGACAGTGTGACAGCTCGTCTCCTGGCTCACACCGAGAGGCCGCCCCTCTGTGGACCTGGGACCCCTTATTCCCTCCCCACTCTTTTCTTCAGCAGAGCCCAGCTGTCCACAGCCTTCTGAGGTGTCCTCTCTTTGGAATGTGTTGTTTGCACTACAGTTCATACTAAGTACCATGGAAGAGCATTGCTATGCTTTGTGTGCCGTTGGAGTCTCTCCCAGGTCTTTGTGAGGATGGACACTTAATCCAGCTATGAGGTGGGGCCCTGGGGAGTGAGCAGGGCTCTATAGGGTCTGGAAGGTGGCGCCCACATGACTGAATTCTGGTGTCTTTGTAAGAGGGGCGGAGACACAGACACAAGCCTCTCTGTGGTCATTTGCCCACCTCTTGCTGTCCGATTCTCTGCATCACCTCAGGACTCTTGTCCATGTTCTGGCCCTGACAAGTTGAGGCCCCTAGACTTTGTGTTTCCAGAACCCTGAGTCCAGGCAAACCTTTTCCTTACAGAGTTAGGCTGCCTCAGAAATTTCAGGCTGATTACACATTCTGAGCTTGTTTCTGGACTGGGCAGACTTGTGCCAGCTGGTGAGCATTCCCATTCACTCATCTTTGTGTCAAGCCCAGATTTGGGCTCCTCTCCTGCTTCCATCGCTACCCCAGTGAGCCTGTCTTCAGATGAGATGTGATGCAGGACAAGTAGCCCAAAGAGGGAGAAGCAGAAACACCTGCTTTTCAGCACCAGGTTGGGATGGTGCCTTTTGTTGGTGCTGGAGATCACCTTTGTAAATTAAACTTTATTGAGAAATTTAATAAGAGATGTGGTTCGTGCTTGGTGTCCACGCGTATTTATCCATCCTTAAGTAATGAGTCTTCTAAGTGACTGCTTCTGTGAACACACCATGATTTCCATAGTCTCTCCTGATATCGAGAAGCTGTAATGTAGAATACTATTTTATTATTGTGTCAGTGCGAGCTGTGGATGGTGGGGCCGCACAGTGTGTCTTTCTAACAGAGTAGGGACTGTTAGCAATCTCTTGTCCAGCCACGCTTTGTGCTGTGTTACTTATCTACTCCCTTGTAGTTAACTCTGACCTTGTGATTGAGTGAGTGGAAAAGGAGTGCCCTGCGCCCCTTCCAGTCCTAGCTACACAAACCTCTGCCTCTCTTAGCGCTCTTTTCTTTTCCAGTGGGCTGGGATGTCGACAATCCAGGGTCCAGTTGACCGCTGCCTGTAATGATGACAATATTTTCATCAGTCCCAGCACATGAATTAGCATTTGGCAAAGACTTGCCCTGCTGACCTGCCCATACATCCTGTAATCTTATACAAGCAAGAAATATGTTCGTCATGTTGTTAATGTTAAGGCCTAGTCTGCACCAAATGAAATCAGGATGCAGTATGTTTTTAGACCTGGCGGATGGTATGTAGACAGTTGTATCAGATATTAACATTTGTATTTGTGCATTACATGTGTGTATGTGTGTGTACACATGGATGTGCATACATGTACAGGCGTGACTGTGTGCTTTACGTGTCACATTATTTACTCAACAACTTTGAATTCACACTAACTTTATTGAATTCCCCATCAAGAAAGCATCACTCCAGGCTGCTCTCCAAGAGACCATGAGAATACGGAGCCCCCCAACTTTGCAGGAAATTTGTTACTCCACAGAAATTTGAACCACTTATTTGGAATGTTGTGGTTGGCTAGACCCACGGAGCAGTGGTCCTGCTGCTTGTTTACCTTTAGGCGCCATGGTAACGGTAACTGTTTAGTTTCCCACTTTTCCAGAAAGAGCCAAACCCTATCTCCTTACATTCAGTTGTGATTTTCTAATGGGGTTGTGTGTACTTATATCCAGTTTTGTTTCTTACTTTCACACGGGAACCCCACATTTATATTTTCACAGTCCAAAGCCAAACAAAGTTTTTATTCCTTAGTAAATAAATTCTTTATGGTTTTGAACTCCTTCCTGCCCAACAGTCTTTTTTAAAAAATATTTATTTGAAAGAGAGAGAGAGAGAGAGAGAGAGAGAGAGAGAGATCTTCCCACTGGTTCATTCCCCAAATGGCAGCAGTGGCTGAGGCTGGGGCCGCCCAGAGCCGTTGAGGTCTCCCACGTGGGTGGCAGGGGCCCGGTGATTTGAGACATCTTTCACTGATTTCCCAGACACATGAGTAGGAAGCCAGATTGAAAGAGGAGCAGCAGGGACTTGAAGCAGCACTATGATAGGAGTGACAGCATCGCAAGTGATGGACGTACTCACTGTGCCATATCATCAGTTCTGCCCAAACACATTTTAAGTGTTCAAACTTTTAAAAAATGTTTCCCTAATCTCTAGGAGCCATGCTTTCTTCTTTACTAGAAGGAGAAAAATATTGGTGGAAATTTTACAACAGCATTTACTTCTCCAGTGCTTTCAGAAAAGAATCATCTTTTAAGAAAAATTAGTCCGGACTGCCCATCACCATGTCTGTGACTGAGCAACCCAGAACGACTGTGGGTCATGCAGGCCCTAAGCTGCACAGACCCGTGCTGGATCCGCTGAGCTTTCCTTTCATTCTCCGTGACCTGGTCCTCAGGTAGACCCACGTACACACACAGCTCGCCCTCTGCCCTGCCTCCCTCAACTGCACCTCCCTCCCTCCGTCTTCCCTCTTTCCACCACAGCTAAGTGCCCCATCCATCTGTTTCTAGAAGGCAGTTCCTAACACCCTGCGCCCCGAGATTAGCCCAAGACAAACCTCTGGATCTCTTGGAAGCTTGGGGAGGGCACGTGGTTTCTAGATGCTTTGTCTTTTGTTTCCGCTTCATGGCTCCGCCCTCAGGGAGTACTCGAATCTGGTACTTTCCTCCCTGCGACACTGCTATCAGAGAGTTAGTTGATGGCGACAGAGCATGAAATTGGAACGTTCAAGAACAACAAATCTCACGAGAGACTCTCTCTCTTCACTCAGTCCAGCACAAGGACAGTTATAAGTTGTCACCAAGGCCTGGACAGCATTCTATGACCTATTGATGATGTCACTCCATTCCAGGGGCTCAGCAAATGGTTGTAGGCCTTCAGCATTTCCACAGCCAATTGCCAGGAGGAATTCATTTTATCTAATGGAAAACCCACCAGTAGCTTTAATTTTTATATCTTTTACTTGGTACCAAAATGAGAAGACAGATGACTTGGATTAACAGTCATTTCATGTGCCCAGCAATACTGTGTTCCTAAGGCTCACTGGCGGTTAGGATATGACCTTGTCCAACAGGATTAGGTTTGGAGACTTGCATATTCTTGTCCCATAGAAGATGGCAAGTGTTATTAGTAGTATTTAATTTATGAACAAGCAAAAAAGTGTTTGAAAAGATAAATATACCCTGATCGAACATTACACAATATATTCATGTATCAAAGCATCACACAGTGGCCCATAAATATGTAGAGTTTTTATATCTTCATTAAACTTTTAAAGTAAATTAGAAGTTACATTTTAAAAATGTGAGGTATGTGTTGGTATACTTGTGTGGCTTTAAGAATATCTCACAGATCCACATAGCGTTTTTTGAATTTCCCTTGCTACTGCAGTCCTTCTTACGTATCCTCATGACGAGGCCTGTTTCTTTTTTCTGCTCTTCCTCATCACTCCCCTTTGGTTTGGAAGAAGAGATAACCCTTGGCTCTGCACTCCTTGGCTCTTACCCAGAATTCTGTTCTTTTCCAGCCTCTAGGTTTCTGCTCCAGGTCCCAGTCTTATGTCTTCTGAAAACATTTGAGTCCTCGAGATAGAATTTCAACTCTGGGAGTTCTGTGTCACAACCAGTAGAGAACACATCAAGTCTTATGTGTTTGCATTCAACCTTAGCAGTGACCATGGCTTAGTCTCTTATGCCCAGTGAGCCTTCTCCTCATTCACCATGACCATTGAATGATGATGGAACATTTGTAAAGAAACTTGCTCCCTGGTTACCTTTCAGAAATTATAACATTAAGGTGAGGACTAGAAACTGCCTTGCGTGTATTTAACTGATAAAATTTAGGTCAAATTATACCAAATAATGCAAAGGACATGAGTGAAAGGAAGAATCTTCATGAAACGAAATTCAGTTTAAATCTCTAACAATATTGCAGGTCAGTTAGGGAGCACTTTACAGAATGAAATACATGTATGAGCCATGGCTCTGTAATCTCACCCCATAGAGACACATTCAGAAGAAGGAATTCATTGCATTATTTGTGCTATCAAGGAGTCAGAAGTTTTAGCTTCCAACTAAAGAACGCATGAGCAGAATGCAGGGGGTGCATCCTAGAGAATTCATTTCTAAGAGGAGAGGTGAAGTCAACTGTAGTGTGTGCATATGGGAAGGAGTGTCAGGAAAGAGCCAGTGACCAGAGGGAAAAAGAACAAAGGAGTCAAGGGAGTACAGTGGCTTCCTGGGCGGGATAATGACTGAGGGTGTTACTGACTCAGTCCCCTATAATATTTAAGCAAGAAAGTAGTCCTGCTGCGAAGTAAACTTTGTGCATAGTAGGTCTACCTCTGAGAGAAAGGTTTGGTATGACTTTATTTCCCATTGCTGCTATAGCAAATCACTACAGGGCTTACAGTACCAATCCGTCACCTGACGTTGCAGAAGTCATGAGTCCTAAAATACAAAACTGTTGTCTTTTAGCTCTGGTGGACAGAAGTCCACTACGGGCACTGGGGCCTAAAATGAGGGAGACTGGAAGCTCGGAAGAGAATCATTCCAGCCTCTGCAGCTCCCAGGGGCTGCCTGCAGCCCTCATCTTGCCGACACCATCTTTGTCTTCAGAAAGTGTCTCTCTAGCGCCTGCTCCATTGTCACATCTCCACTCCAACCAGCACCCTCTGCTGCTATCAGAGAGTCCTGTGATCATGTTGGCCCCACCCAGTCATCCAGGACGTTTCCAGTTCAAAATCTTTAACGCCATCTGCAGAGTCTGTTGCCATGCACGGTGCTACATCCACTAGCTGTGGGGGTTCGGAGGTTGATGTTTGAGGGGAAAGGTGCCTTTGTTTCATCCTCTTCCACCAAGACAAAATCGAGATGTCATAGAGACTTCACTTATAGTAAAATACAGTAGCCTGAGCACAGACATCCCCCAGGAAGCAAAGAAATAGGGAAATGCAGTTACAGACAACTATGTAAACAGATGAATGAAACAAAACGAATGAAATAAAGAACTGTGGATAGTGCACGGGAGAAATACACAGCAATATAATAAGAAGAAAAAAAGAAATCAAAAACACAACAAGGAAAACTTCAGTCCAAAAAGATTCAAAAATCAGAGAACACATAGATAAATTTGGGTGGTGTATATTTGTACAATAGAATGCTATAAACACTTAAAATATGTGAATTACATGAGTAAATTCCAGCATCATTATTTGGAGAACAAAGGCAAAAGGTGGAAGGATACGTTCAGGATGATAACAAATACAAAGTTTGGAAAATAAATAGAACTATAGATCTGTATAGATACATTTTTCTTTATTTGAATGTCAGAGACAGATAGGGGGAGGGAGGACAGGGGAAGAGGAGGAGGGAGAAGGAGACAGAGATGTCTTCCATCTGCTGGTTCAGTTCCCAGGTGGCCACTGCAGCCAGGGCTAGGCCTGGTCAAAGCCAGGATTCAGGAGCTCCACCTGAGTCTCCCATGAGGATGGCAGGGACCCGGTTGATTGAGTTGTACCTGCTGCCTCACAGGGCACGCATTAACAGGAAGGAAACTGGGTTAGAAGCAGAGCCAGGACTTGAAATCATTCTCTGATATCAACTGTGGATTATGACCAAATCACTGTACCAAACCTGTGCCCTGTATGGATGCATACTTAGGTGGTCATAGTATAACTCGTGTACTTAATCGGATAATCATTTGTTAAAATGATAAACATAAGAATTTATTGGAGGTTTCCTCCACTGAATGAGTGAAGAAGGAATCTAGGAAGGGTGCACACAGACTCACAACTGTGTCTAATGCCTGCTTTTCAAAGGAATGTGAAAGAAAAAAATGAAAAAGCTAAAATTTGGCAGTTAAGTAGTAGACACACGGGTTTTCATTATATTGTCTTTCATACTCCCCTGTGTTATTCAGATATCTTATAATTTTAATAGAGTGCTTGGATCCCAAGGTTATAATTTATCATTAGACAACGTTGTGATGTAATGATCAGAAGAGAGGAAGTCGGAGTCCAGTGTGGGCACAACCCCCTGTGCAGAGAAAGACAACTTATGCACTTGCCATTTGCATACTGTGGTCACAGATGTCTTCCACAAAGCCCATTAACAGCCAATGTTTATAAGCAATGATCAGATACTTTGCTGAGTACTTTATGTGGATTATGGCATTAGGATAAGATGAAAATACAAGTCAAATGCAATCTCAATGAGATCTAAAGTGCATTATAGCAGTCTGCTCATTACTGGAAGGGAATGGAGTTTGCAAAATGCAGTCAAAAGGCAAATGAATGATGTGCTTGGGGATAAAGTGATGTCAGACAGGGTACACTCACCCTCCTCTGCTTGAAGTCAGATTTGTTTTCCACTTTAAACTGATTTACATGGTAGCCTATGTGTAAATGATCAGAAATCTCGAAAGGCATATTTTAATTTTGTTGACCACAGTAAAGATAAGAAATAGAACTGAGTGAGAATGGACTGATAGGAATACAGCAGCATATATTCCACTTCAGAATAATGCTGACTGCCTCCAATAGATGTAGGGACTCAATGTCAGTAACAGTGAGGACCTTGTGTTGAACACTTTCTGTGTATCAACCACTACTGTCATCTTTCTCCAAACAGCATCTCCTTTACCTCTCACAGTGACCCGCACATGAAAATGCAGGTTTGAAGATGTGCACAGTAGAATCTCACCTGTTCCTGAGCAGAAACTGTGTGAGGTTAGCGGTCAGCAGTTACGGTAACCTCTGTAAATACCATTGCTGCAAATACAGATTGCATGTGTTAGATGAAGATTATAGTATTTAAATGTATGGTAGGTATCTATCAAAAATAGAATACCATTTTTGGCAGGCCAGTGGGATGCAGAGGGAACTTCTGTAAGGAGAGTATTAGTTAGTTTTCTGTTATGGATTGGGTTTACCAAATCTAGATGTCTAGATGTGTCTAGATGTGACTACCCCACAAATATTTATATTATTACTTCTGGCTAGAGAGAGTCTTAATAACATTTGTAATAATGCAGGATTTGATGAAATTTTCTCTCATGAGAAAAGAGAAAGGGGGTAGGAATTTACTGTGACCGAATATCTGTTATAAACCAGGCACTGTGCTAGTTACTGCATGAATTAACCTGTTATCACAGGTAACTCTCCTAACTGAAGAATGCAAAGAGGAGCCGGTGTTGTGGAGTAGTGGGTAAAGCCACCACCTGTGATGCTGGCGTCTGTACAGATGCTGGTTTCAGTCCTGGCTGCTATACTTCCAGTCCAGGTCCTTGTTTAATACACCCAGGAAGGCAAAAGAAGATGACCCAAGTGCTTGGCCCCTGCACCCATGTGGGAGACCCAAATGAAGCTACTGGCTCCTGGCTTCCGTCTGGCTCAGACCTGGCTGTTGCGGCCATTCGGGGAGTGAATGCGCGAGTAGGCGATCTGTCTCTCTCTGTCTCCCCCTCTCTCTAACTCTGCCCTTCAAATGAATAAAATAAGCCTTAAAAAGAAAAGGATGAGAAGAAAGCGAGGCAGAGAGAATCTTCCCAAGGTAACCAGGAGGAGCGTAGTGGAGCTGGGCTGTGAGATGAAGAGGATCTGACTCCCAAACCTGTGTCCCTTGGATTGCCAGCAGTGACCCAGGCTGAGACATTCCTTAGCTACTCTGTCAGAGCTGCCCAAGAGAGAAGCAGGAGATAGAATAGGGAGTCCCTGTTCCTCAGGGAAAGGAATCCACAGGCCTGCTTTCCATATGCAAAGGCACTTTGTGTGGCAAGCACCCAATG